AAGACCCAGTTAGGATTATGGAAAAACTGAACATACAAATCCTATGCCACCCATTGAGAGAAATGCGGTCTTTTCAGAAAACTAGACCTATATCTCCCATCTGAGAGAAAAGGCCTGACTCAGCCCTGGTCTACACTACACTACTTATGTTGGTATAATTACATTGCTCAGGGGAATGGAAAATCCATGCCCATAAGTGACAGTGGTAATGACCTAACTCCTGGTGTAGACAGCACTATGTCAACGGGAGAGCTTCTCGCATCAGCATAGCTACTGCCTCCTGGGAGGTGGAGTACTTACACAGACAGGAGAAGCCCTCCTGTTGGCATAGATAGCATCTTTACTAAGTGCTACAACGACGCAGCTGCAGTGCTGTAAGTGTAGACAAGCCCTCAGAAAAGCAGTAAATTAGAATAGCCCTTGGCCAGCTGAACTCATGCTGGGGACTAAGAAGAAACCTCCCCACTGCCCCCCCAAATTGGAGGCGAACAGGTGACTTGAAAGCATCTTTCCTTCCCTTGGTTGCTGGGCTGAATGCAGAGATGGGGGAATCTCAGAATCAGGACCAATATTTATAATTCACTGGCTAGGCGGCAGTTCTACAGAAAAGGACCTGGGGATTACAATGGACAAGAAGCTGGATATGAGTCAACAGTGTGCCCTTGTTGCCAAGAAGGCTAACGGCATATTGGACTGCATTAGTAGGAGCATTGCCAGCAGATCAAGGGAAGCGATTATTCCCCTCTATTTGGCACTGGTGAGGCCACATCTGGAGTATTGCGTCCAGTTTTTGGACTCCCACTACAGAAAGGATGTGGACAAATTGGAGAGACTCCAGTGGAGGGCAATGAAAATGATTAGGGGGATGGGGCACATGACTTATGAGGAGAGGGGGGCCAATCTATGTTTTCCAGCCCATGTACTCCTCCCCGGCCCACTCATTCATGCCCCAGCCCAGTCAGTCTGCCACCCCACTGCCCCCTCTTTCCCTAATGGATCCCTGGACTAGAGCAGAAGCTTCTATGGCAGTGGTGGGCAACCTGTGGCCTGTGGGCCTCATGTGGCCCATCAGGGTAATCTGATTGTGGGCCGCAAAACATTTTGCTGACGTTGACCATCCACAGACATGGGCCCCTACAGCTCTCAGTGGCCATGATTCACTGTTCCCGGCCATTGGGAGCTTCAGGAAGCAGCAGCCAGCACATCCCTGCAGCTCCCATTGGCTAGGAACAGTGAACCACGGCCTCTGGGAGCTGTAGGTGGCCATGCTTGTGGAACGTCAATGTCAGCAAAATATCTCATGGCCTGCAATCAGATTACATTGATGGACCGCATGCGGCCCACAGGTTGCCCACCACTGTTCTATGGGGTATGCTATGAAATTCAGATTGTGAACTTCACAAATGTTCTGGTTCATCCTATTATAAAGATGAGAGACAAGTCTGGAATTTGGATTCACATCCTGATCTGCGGTAAGATTCAGAAACCACCCCCTTCCCTGAAAAATGTGGGGGTGTCTGGATCCGTGGTTTGGTTTAGGCCTAACTCCAGTTAAAATCCACCAAGCTCAGACAACATCTATTTATATTAATTAATAATAGATCAAAAGGGTATTCTCCTGCTAAAACATAATATTAGTATGCATTACACAATATCAAATATTAAAAATCAAGATTTATGTTTGGTCACAATGAGCAACCATTGGTAAGAATGGTCATTATTTTATACTGAGAGAACCACAGAACAAGAAACCAAAGTAATGTCTCGTGATCTCAACCCCCCAACTCACATGGGGAATGAGTGTGACTGCTGTGCCCCCTGGAGTGGAAATGGCTAGCACAGAAAGAAGTGGGTGCACAGAGAAGTGGAAGACTGCCAGGCCATGGTTCCAGCTCCTTTCCATTTCTCCGCACTCCCTTTAAGGTGACTAGCTAGTCCTGCCTTTTCCTTCAGCTCAAGGGAAGGCAATATTTGAATGTGTGTCTTTCCTCTGCAGCAAAGGGCAAAAAGGGAAAAGGCTTTGTCAAGGTTCCTCCCCCACTCTGAACTCTAGGGTACAGATGTGAGGACCTGCATGAAAAACCTCCTAAGCTTATCTTTACCAGCTTAGGTCAAAACTTCCCCAAGGTACAAAATATTCCACCCGTTGTCCTTGGATTGGCCGCTACCACCACCAAACTAATACTGGTTACTGGGGAAGAGCTGTTTGGACGCATCTGTCCCCCCAAAATACTTCCCAAAACCTTGCACCCCACTTCCTGGACAAGGTTTGGTAAGAAGCCTCACTAATTTGCCTAGGTGACTACAGACCCAGACCCTTGGATCTTAAGAACAATGAACAATCCTCCCAACACTTGCACCCCCCCTTTCCTGGGAAATGTTGGATAAAAAGCCTCACCAATTTGCATAGGTGACCACAGACCCAAACCCTTGGATCTGAGAACAATGAACAAGCATTCAGTTTTTTTACAAGAAGACTTTTAATAAAAATAGAAGTAAATAGAAATAGAGAAATCCCCCCTGTAAAATCAGGATGGTAGATATCTTACAGGGTAATTAGATTCAAAAACATAGAGAACCCCTCTAGGCAAAACCTTAAGTTACAAAAAAGATACACAGACAGAAATAGTTATTCTATTCAGCACAGTTCTTTTCTCAGCCATTTAAAGAAATCATAATCTAACACATACCTAGCTAGATTACTTACTAAAAGTTCTAAGACTCCATTCCTGGTCTATCCCCGGCAGAGACCAGTATAAGACAGACACACAGACCCTTTGTTTCTCTCCCTCCTCCCAGCTTTTGAAAGTATCTTGTCTCTTCATTGGTCATTTTGGTCAGGTGCCAGCGAGGTTACCTTTAGCTTCTTAACCCTTTACAGGTGAGAGGAGCTTTCCCCTGGCCAGGAGGGATTTCAAAGGGGTTTACCCTTCCCTTTATATTTATGACAGGCTTTTCATGCCCCCCTCCTGCACTTGCACATTGGCCCTGGAGCTGGCTACAAACCAGGCCTACAGTAGCAGTGAAAATACTACATGAAATAGACCAAATCATGACTACACAGTGATAATTAAGTGCACTACATTCCTTGTTCCTGAGGTAGAGTGTAGTAAATTCAAGTGAGAACTACCATCCAGACTTCAGATACAGTGCACAGCAGCTCCCTAGTAGGTAATGTAAGGTGTAGGTTCTTGCAATGTCTGAACTGTCATAAGCATTCGCAAAAAAGAAAAGGAGTACTTGTGGCACCTTAGAGACTAACCAATTTATTTGAGCATGAGCTTTCGTGAGCTACAGCTCACTTCATCGGATGCATACTATGGAAAGTGTAGAAGATCTTTTTATACACACAAAGCATGAAAAAATACCTCCCCTTTCATGCTTTGTGTGTATAAAAAGATCTTCTACACTTTCCACAGTATGCATCCGATGAAGTGAGCTATAGCTCACGAAAGCTCATGCTCAAATAAATTGGTTAGTCTCTAAGGTGCCACAAGTACTCCTTTTCTTTTTTGCGAATACAGACTAATACGGCTGTTACTCTGAAACCTGTCATAAGCACTGTATTTCCAGAAAAAGGAGAAATACATCTCTTTGGTTCAAATGCCAAATTAAGCCTGAGCAGACTGGTACACTCCAGATGATGACTTTAGCTCTAGGCAAGTTGCATAGAAGATATTGTTTATGGTCAGTATAGTCCTTTCATTTTAAAGTTAGGAATCTGTTATTGTTACACCTATTGGCTGAAAATAGCCACTGAGACATGACTATGCCCAAAGCGTGTACTAGATAATACAATGTTTTATTCTCCAACCCCATAAAAGAGAGTTGTAAACATCCTGATAGGTTGCTGAAAATTTACTGATATAATGACATCTTTCAAGTGGGAAAAAAAAAATGGACTCTTTCAGTTTGCAAAGGGCACCTCAATACAAGATAGCTCAATGTGACTAAGGCAATAAATAGCCATACAGCAATGCTGATCAGGTGAAATTGCCATGTCATGTGCCAGAGCTTTCATGAGAAGTAAAAGCTAGATTTTGTCAAATGTAAATTAAATTTTGACAGAACATTCTAAAGTGCTTTCACCTTTCTGCACTTCCATTAAACTGGATTTGGCTGCTTTTATCTTATGTGGAGGCTTTTGTATGCAGAGGATTTTAGACTTTCTAGCTGTGGAACTTGATCCTAGTGGACTCAGAACTTTGGGCCTGAACCAGAAGCCAATTTGAAGATGAAGGGGTATATTTTTTAAGTAGTGTTAAGGGTTTTTTCCATGCAAATCCTATAGACAGAGGAGCAGATGCCCAAATCTCAATGTAGGGCTTCAAAAACATGCCCCTCAATGAAAGCCTTTCAGAAAGAAAAAGAACAATTTTGAGCCACTCATATAGCAGTAAAATCACTCCTCTGAAGAGGTCCCAGCACAAGATCTATGTACCACCTAAATATCACTTAAATCAGTGGTTCTCAAAGCCAGTCTGCCGCTTGTTTAGGGCAAGCCCCTAGTGGGCAGGACCTGTTTGTTTACCTGCCGCGTCTGCAGGTTCGGCCAATCACGGCTCCCATTGGCCGCGGTTTGCTGCTTCAGGCCAATGGGGGCTGTGGGAAGCAGCGCGGGCCAAGGGACGTGCTGGCCGCCCTTCCTGCAGCCCCCATTGGCCTAGAGCGGCGAACTGCGGCCAGTGGGAGCCGCAATCGGCCGAACCTGTGGACGTGGCAGGAAAACAAACCAGTCCGGCCCGCCAGGAGCTTTCCCTGAACAAGCGGTGGACCGGCTTTGAGAACCACTGACTTAAATCCTAAAACTGGGGTTTAAGTTGTGTCACTTATAGAGAATCGTAACCACACTCTTGAACCTTTGGGTTCAGAGATCATGGCCCCTTTAAAACCTTGTCCTGAAGCAGAGGAAGTGCTGATTGTTCCAGGGGAGTGGAGACCGACAGTGGTATGTGTCTGTATCTCCAGATAAGAAGGCCTACAGTGGGCAGGCCCTCACATAGAGAAGCAGCTGATATGCAGCCTGATGTCCCCAGGGGCAGAGCAACTGACTGGGGATGCCTCAGGGCAGGGGCCAGGAGAAGCACCATGCCAGGAAGGAATCACCCAAGAAGGACAAAACAGAGCCGGACCCAGTATCACTGTTGCCCAGGGCTGTATGGGGCTGTGAGTACTGGGGCTTGTGACTTTGCACTGGGAATAAGGAGGGAGGCTGTAGCTAGCTAAGTGGGGAGGTTGTTGCTCCGTGTGGGTTTGCAGAAAGCAGCAGGAAAGGGCACCAGAGGGGTCTGTTGGGGAAAGTTTACTGGCACCGAAGATGACCAGGAGCACCCAGGACTCACCACTGGACTGGAACGCTGCCCAGGACTCCTGAACTCTGAGTGTAGATGCATTGCTTGGTGTCTGCCCTTTCAAATTGTGGTCCAACTGAGCCTTTGGGTTTTCATATTGGATGTACCCCTGTTTTACTACACCCCCTATCTTCCCTCCTGTTATTTTCCCTCCATTCATGTCTCTGTAAATAAATATTTCCCCTTTCTATATTAATTGTACTATACTGGTGTGTGTATATTTACTCCAGGGGTTTGGAACAGGTGCCTCCGGGGTGGAAGGGAATTTCCCTGCTGTGTTCCTGGACAGCCTTTTCTTGTCCGGAGCTGCCTGCAGAGCAGACTCCATCTTGGCCATGGGAGTGCTATAATAGTAAAGGAACATTTTTTTTACTATTCAGAAAAAAAACAACCCCCACCTTTCCAAATAACAATTGTATTCTCATTTACAAGAAACAGGACACATTTATTTCATGTTGCTATAACAGGAGTCAAACACTGAGTTGTTTGAGTGAAATAAATCTAGGTGGTAATATAAAGGTGGATTCCTGTTGACAACATAATTGTGGGCTGATTTCAGACACGAACACAGAAAGCTGGTTCTCCTTTTTACCATATGAAGGAATTGCTCAAATGTCTTAAGCCATCAAAGACTCCAGATGGTAGTCAATGCCACAGGTGGTAGCTTCATATGTCAAAAAGCCTACCTTTCTATCTTAAGTACTTGGCTCCAATTACCATAGTATCTGAGATCCTGACCCTCAAAGCTACATAGGCATCTTATGCTCATTGACTTCAAGTGCCTAAATAGGTGACATGGATCAGCGTTCACACTGCACTCCCTGGCAGTACGTGGCCCAAGCTGGGGAAGCTAATGATCCAACCAGTGGACCAAATTCAGTGATGAATCCTGGTCACATGCCACCTGAGGCACGTTGTGCATATGTTAAGAAGAGTGCCTAAGTGCCTCACGATCCTTAATATATTTCATTGTACAACAGCCCTGTGAGGTCAAGAAGAATTATTATCCCCATGTTACAGAAGGAGAACTGAGGCCTCCAAAAATTCCAGCGATTTGCGTATAGCAGGGAATGAACCCAGAGCTCCTTAGTTTCACTAGCACACTAATCACTACACTATCCTTCCTCTTTCCCAGGAAATAAAAATGGAGAACAAGGGTCAGATGCTGATTCTAATTACACCACTGCAATAGTAACTAGACTGAGTTACTATGAGGTAGGTGCATAACTGGTTGAAAGATCATACTCAAAGAGAATGGTTTGCTAGTTCAATGGTTTGCTGTCAAACTAAGAGAACATATCGAGTGGGGTCACATGGAGATCTGTTCTGGGCAGGGTATTATTCAATATTTTCAGTAATAACTTGTATGATGAAGTAGAGAGTATACTTATAAAATTTGTAGATGACACCGAGCTGGGAGGGGTGGCTAGCACTTTGGAGGATAGGACTGGAGTTCAGAATGATCTTGATAAATGGGAGAACTGGTCTGAAATTAATAAGCTGAAATTCAATAAAGCCAAGTGAAAAGTACTGCACTTAGGAAGGAAAAATCAAATGCGCTATACAAAATGGTGAATAACTGGCTAGGTGGCAATACTAAAAAAAGGATCTGGGGGGTTAGAATGGATCACAAATTGAATATGTCAACAATGTTATGCTGTTGCAAAAAAAGGCAAATGTCATTCTGGGATGTATTAACAGGAGTGTCATATGTAAGACATGGGAGCATGATTTGGGTTCAGTGTCTGAAACCTCTAAACGTAAATATGAAGATATTTGGATTCAGGGTTTTGCTGTGGGCCCAAATCTAGTTTCCACCTTTGGAACAGCCTGGAGACAGGGATATAACAATAATTCTACTTTCCTGAGAATCAATCTGAATCAGGTTTCAGAGTAACAGCCGTGTTAGTCCGTATTCGCAAAAAGAAAAGGAGTACTTGTGGCACCATAGAGACTAACCAATTTATTTGAGCATAAGCTTTTGTGAGCTACAGCTCACTTCATCGGATGCATAAAAGTGGAAAATGCAGAGGATGTTTTTATACACACAGACCATGAAAAAATGGGTGTTTATCACTTCAAAAGGTTTTTTCCCCCCACCCCACTCTCCTGCTGGTAATAGCTTATCTAAAGAGATCACTCTCCTTACAATGTGTATGATAATCAAGGTAGGCCATTTCCAGCACAAATCCAGGTTTTCTCTTCTCCCACCCCACTCTCCTGCTTGTAATAACTTATCTAAAGTGATCACTCTCCTTAGAATGGTTTCAGTGTAGCAGCCGTGTTAATCTGTATTTGCAAAAAGAAAAGGAGTACTTGTCCTTACAATGTGTATGATAATCAAGGTGGGCCATTTCCAGCACAAATCCAGGGTTTAACAAGAACGTCTGAGGAATGAGGGGGAGTGGGAAGGGGGTAGGAAAAAACAAGGGGAAATAGGTTACCTTGCATAATGACTTAGCCACTCCCAGTCTCTATCCAAGCCTAAGTTAATTGTATCCAATTTGCAAATGAATTCCAATTCAGCAGTCTCTCGCTGGAGTCTGGTTTTGAAGTTTTTCTGTTGTAATATCACAACTTTCATGTCTGTAATTCCATGACCAGAGAGATTGAAGTGTTCTCCGACTGGTTTATGAATGTTATAATTCTTGACATCTGATTTGTGTCCATTTATTCTTTTACGTAGAGACTGTCCAGTTTAACCAATGTACATGGCAGAGGGGCATTGCTTGCACATGATGGCATATATCACATTGGTAGATGTGCAGGTGAATGAGCCTCTGATAGTGCGGTTGATGTGATTAGGCCCTGTGATTGTGTCCCCTGAATAGATATGTGGGCACAGTTGGCAACGGGCTTTGTTGCAAGGATAGGTTCCTGGGTTAGTGGTTCTATTGTGTGATATGTAGTTGCTGGTGAGTATTTGCTTCAGGTTGGGGGGCTGTCCGTAGGCAAGGACTGGCCTGTCTCCCAAGATTTGTGAGAGTGATGAGTCGTCCTTCAGGATAGGTTGTAGATCCTTGATAATGCGTTGGAGAGGTTTTAGTTGGGGGCTGAAGGTGACGGCTAGTGGCATTCTGTTATTTTCTTTATTAGGCCTATCCTGTAGTAGGTGACTTCTGGGTACTCTTCTGGCTCTGTCAATCTGTTTCTTCACTTCAGCAGGTGGGTATTGTAGTTGTAAGAATGCTTGATAGAGATCTTGTAGGTGTTTGTCTCTGTCTGAGGGGTTGGAGCAAATGCGGTTGTATCGTAGAGCTTGGCTGTAGACAATGCACCATGTCGTGTGGTCTGGGTGAAAGCTGGAGGCATGTAGGTAGGAATAGCGGTCAGTAGGTTTCCAGTATAGGGTGGTGTTTATGTGAAGATCGCTTATTAGCACTGTAGTGTCCAGGAAGTGGATCTCTTGTGTGGACTGGTCCAGGCTGAGGTTGATGGTGGGATGGAAATTGTTGAAATCAGGGTGGAATTCCTCAAGGGCTTCTTTTCCATGGGTCCAGATGATGAAGATGTCATCAATATAGCGCAAGTAGAGTAGGGGTATTAGGGGACGAAAGCTGAGGAAGCGTTGTTCTAAGTCAGCCATAAAAATGTTGGCATACTGTGGGGCCATGTGGGTACCCATAGCAGTGCCACTGATTTGAAGGTATACATTGTCTCCAAATGTGAAATAGTTATGGGTGAGGACAAAGTCACAAAGTTCAGCCACCAGGTTAGCCGTGACATTATCGGGGATAGTGTTCCTGACAGCTTGTAGTCCATCTTTGTGTGGAATGTTAGTGTAGAGGGCTTCTACATCCATAGTGGCCAGGATGGTATTTTCAAGAAGATCACCGATGGATTGTAGTTTCCTTAGGAAGTCAGTGGTGTCTCGAAGATAGTTGGGAGTGCTGGTAGCGTAGGGCCTGAGGAAGGAGTCTACACAGCCAGACAATCCTGCTGTCAGGGTGCCAATGCCTGAGATGATGGGGCGCCCAGGATTTCCAGGTTTATGGATCTTGGGTAGTAGATAGAATATCCCAGGTCGGGGTTCCAGGGGTGTGTCTGTGTGGATTTGATCTTGTGCTTTTTCAGGGAGTTTCTTGAGCAAATTATGTAGTTTCTTTTGGTAACCCTCAGTGGGATCAGAGGGTAATGGCTTGTAGAAAGTGGTGTTGGAGAGCTGCCGAGTAGCCTCTTGTTCATATTCTGACCTATTCATGATGACAACAGCACCTCCTTTGTCAGCCTTTTTGATTATGATGTCAGAGTTGTTTCTGAGGCTGTGGATGGCATTGTGTTCTGCACGGCTGAGGTTGTGGGGCAAGTGATGTTGCTTTTCCACAATTTCAGCCCGTGCACGTCGGCGGAAGCACTCTATGTAGAAGTCCAGTCTGCTGTCTCGACCTTCAGGAGGAGTCCCCCTAGAATCCTTCTTTTTGTAGTGTTGGTAGGAAGGTCTCTGTGGATTAGTATGTTGTTCAGAGGTGTGTTGGAAATATTTCTTGAGTCGGAGACATCGAAAATAGGATTCTAGGTCACCACAGAACTGTATCATGTTCATGGGGGTGGAGGGGAAGACGGAGAGGAAAATCTGAATCAGAGATCTTCTGTTTGAATTATTATAAAGCTTGGAGGAAGGAAGAGGAGGTGTTTGGAACTGAGGTGGTTGGTTTGAGCCAATCTATACTGTGATTTGGGCTTAGATTCTGCCACCTTATTCATGTTGACTAGTGCCTTATTCAGGGAGTAACACTGTAGATTTCAGTTAGACTATTTCTGAAGTATGGTACTTTTAAACATAAGGATGGCAGAATCTGTCCCTTAAAACAGTGGTTCTCAACTATGGGTCTGCGGCCCCCTGCGGAGCTGTAAGAAGGTTTCAGGGGGTCCATCAAGCAGGGCCAGCATCAAACTAACTGGGGCCCTGGCCCAGGGCAGAAAGCCGAAGCCCCACCGCATGGTGTTGAAGCCTGAGACCCTGAGCCCCACGACCTGGGGCTGAAGCTGAAGCCTGAGCAGTTTAGCTTCATGGTGTTCCCTGTGGCATGAGGCCCCAAACAATTTCCCTGTTTACTACCTCCTAATGCTAGCCGAGGCTTTTATATGCAGAAAGTCAGTTGTTGTGACACAGGTGGGCGGTGGAGGTTTTACAGCATGCTGGGGGTGCCTCATAAAGAAAAAGGTTGAGAACCCTTGCCTTAAAATTAATTATCATTTTTCAGCTCCTGTGTCTGGAAGACTCTTGGCATCTTAATGAAAAAAAATCATAAACCAAGAAATTGCACAGGTTTCAAAAGTAAAAAACAAAACAAAACAAAAACAACAACAACAAAAATGTGGAGGCTAGTTGAATCTTAGAAATAAACCCAATTATTTTAGGCCCCTGTTGCTCCAAGTCTGCAAGGAATACAGGGGACATTATTCAATGTAAGGAAAACTTTCCTTCACCAAGTACTTTATTTACTGTCACAACATGACAAGACATGGTGTTGCTGAAAGAGGTGTTCTTTTCTGAATTGAGCAGCACCTGTTTGTTTGCCACCAGCTGTAAATTTAATTTAAGTTTAAATTATCTGCTCCTGAGGGAGACAACAGGCATTTGGAAATGGGAACAAAAAGTTCATTAAAAAAACTCCAAACAGCTGACCCATAGGAACAAAGCAATTCATGATTTTTAAAATTTTTGTTGGAAGAAGAAATGTCATTAGAACAGCTGTTTCTTTGGTATATAATGACTGAGCATTATACGTAGGCCAGGGGATTGAACCTAATGGAATTTGAATTCACCTGTCCATATTCTTTGGTATCGAGGATCATAGGTTATTAAGGCAAGACTTCTTTTCCTCTTGAAGTCAATGGCAAAACTCTAATGGAAAGAGGATCAGGGGACTATTGGTGTCATAACAAACCTTCAGAAAACTTGCTTCAGGCCTCAGGACTTCATGATCCTTGTTTTAGAAATACTTAGTAAAATGAGCTCAAAGAGTTTGCTTCACTTTTTTTCCATTAGTAATTACTTGGAACCGGACTACTTTGCAGGAGAATTGACTAGGGGCCAGATTCTGCCATCTTTACCTCACACTGTGTAGTATCTTACTCTGTGAGTAGTAATCCCACTGAAATCAATAGGTCTCCCACTGGAGTAAGGTACTTAGGATGAGCACTATGGGCGACAGAATGAATATCCATTATTTTTAAGGATAAGGAAACCTGGACCATATTGTATACATCTT